ATGTAGGTGCCGTCCCTTCGAATGTAGATGGCACCCCCTAGGGTGTAGTTGCCGCCCGCTAAGGCCTAGTTGTAGTGCAGCCCCCTCAAATGTAGGTGCTACACCCAGACCCCTAAATGTAGGTGCCACCCCTTGAAATGAAGGTGCCTTTCCCTCACATGTAGATAGATGCCGCCCCCCATGCGTGGGTGCCGCCCCTCAAGTTAGGGTGCTGCCCATAAAATGTAGGTGCCGTCCCCTCTAAGTGTAGGCGCTGCCGCCTCAAGAGCGAATGCCATCGCCGCCCCCTCTAATGTAGGTACTACCCTCCTCTCAAGAGCTTGAGCTGTCACAAGGCCGTGTATAGAGCTGTCGGACATGCAAAATGACCAGTTAAAAAAATCGTGGATTTCGATTCCTGGTGCGCCGCTCACCGCTCAGTGGGGGGTGGGGGTGGTGCCCAGTGGAGGTCGCAGGGGGGGCATCAGGGCCATGGCCCCCCAAAGACAAATCAGGGGCCATCATATAATTTGCCCCTTAAACAACCGATGGGCCCCGATGGGCGTAGGGGCCCTGACTCTTACCCGATTGTTACGAGGCTCAAGAAACCAACGCCAGTATTATGTAACAGCCCCCATACCGGTCTTTGAGTATCCTAACTTCTGAGGGCGCTTCAGTGGCCTTCAAGGGCCAAATTGACCGATGAGGGCCCACATCGACCGATGAGGGCCCACATCGACCTCTCAGGGCCCTCCACTGGCCCTTGAGGGCCCTAAAGCGGCATCAGGAGTCCCCCAACCGGCCTTTGAGGGCCCCACACTGATCTCTTGATGGTCTCATTTGTCTCTGGGGTTCAGGACTGACCTTTGGGTGCCGGTCACTTAGAGCCCGCATCGACCTCTGAGGGCCTCAAACTGGCCTTTGAGGGCCCTGTACTGGTCTCGAGGGCTCTCAAACTGGTCTCTGGGGGTCCACGCCTCTAATGGTCTCATTTCTTTTTCTGGGGGCCCAAGACTGGCCTTTGGGTGTCCCCGAGGGCCCGTACTGACTTCTGAAGGCCCGATGCCGGTCTCTAAGGGTCCACATCGGCCTCTGAGGGCCCTATGCTGACCTCTGGGGTCCAACACCGACCCATGCTGGTCCCACACTGACCTCTGAGGGCTCCACGCTGGCCTGTAAGATACCACACCGGCATGTGAGGGCCCACGTCGGCCTCTGATGGTTCCAAACTGCCCTTTAAAGGCTCTGTACTGGTCTCTGAGGGCCTCACACTGCCGGTACGGACCCACGCTGGTCTTTTGAGGGTCCAAACTGGTCTCTGACGGCCCAAACTGGCCTCCTAGGGCCCAACACCGTGGCTTCGGATGGCCCAATTTCTGTCTGGCGGACAAAGACTAACCCTTGGGCACTTCTGAGGGCCGGTACTGGCTTCTGAAGGCCCGATGCCGGTCTCTTAGGACCAACATTGGCCTCTGAGGGCCCATCCTGGCTTTTGAGGACGCTCTGTTCGGTCTTTTAGGGCCCCATACTGACCTCTGAGGGCTCCACGTTGGCCTGTAGAAATCACACTGACCTCTGAGGACCCACGTCGGCCTCTGATGATTCCAAACTGACCTTTGAAGGCCCTGTACTGGTCTCAGAGCCCAGAGGGCCCTAAACTGGCTTCTAAGGGTCCCAAACTGGCCTCTGAGGGCCCCAAACCGGCCTCTAAATGTCTCACACCGGCTGCTGATAACCCCATTTCTGTCACTGACACCCAAGGCTGGCCCTTGTCCCTTGGGTGCCTCTGAGGGCCCTATGCCGGCCTCTGAGGACCCATGACGGTCTTTAGGGGCCCTGTGGTAGTGTGCTCCTCGATTGTCTCCCTGGAGCCGCCTCTGCGATGACTTGCCCGCCGGCGCATGGACCGACGGCTGGGGTCAGCAGGCGCGGTTGGAATGTGGACCAGTCTTGTTCGAGACACAATGCAAGCGGGAGCACTACTGTCGCTTATAACAGGCCCCTCACTGGACTCTGAGGGCCCCAGTCGGTCTATGGGGTCTCTACACCGCCACTGATGGCCCTATTATGGTCTCTGGGGTGCCAGGTTAGTCTGGTCCCTGAGGGCCCACGTCGGGCCTGGGGGCCCCATACAGGCCTTTGAGGGCCAATATTGGCCTTTGAGGGCCCTACACCGACCTCTGAGGGCCCCGAATCGGGCTCCTCTGAGGGACCACACTAGCATCTGATGAACCCACTCCGGTCGCTGGGGGCTCAAGATTGAACTTTGGGTGCCTCGCATTGGGCTCTGAGGGCCCACATTGACCTCCGAGAGCTCCACACTGGCCTGTAAGGGATCATATTGGGCTGGCCTCTGATGACCAACTGGTTTTGGAGGGCCAGTACTGGCCAGTGGCCACTCAGAGTCCCAAATCGGCTTTTGAGGGCCATAACCGGCATCTGATGGACCGAACCGGACCCTAGTGGCCCAAAACAGGCCTCAGAGGGCCCCGCACCAGACTCTGAGAGTCCCATCTTTAGTCTCTGGGGTCCAAGGAAGAACTTTTGGCGTTTCATACCGTCCTCCAATGTTCCCTGTCAGTCTCTGGTTGGTCCCCATGTCGGAATTTCGGAATTTGAGGGCCGTTATCTCGTCGCAGCGGGACGGCATTAAGGTCTATTACCATATCGGGGTCACATCGGTTTCTGAGGGCCCATGTCTGCTGCTAAGGGTCCCTGGTCTCTGATAGTTCCATTTAGGTCTTTGAGAGGCCAGGCCTGCCCATCATAGGCGCCTCATGCTATCTTCTTATTCTCTGCCGATCTCGGAGGGCCCCTGTCGATCTGTTTGGCCCGTGCAGGTTTTTAAGGGTCGCTGCTAGTCTCTGAGAGCCCCATGTCGTTAGTTGTGTCTATTTTGGGTCGCATTGGCACCACACATGTCTCTTAGGGCCCATACCAGTCAAGGGGTCCCACATTGACCTCTCAAGGACCAACGCTGGCCTCAAGGGCACACACCACCTCAGAGGTTCCGAACTGGCCTTTGACGACCCCGCACTGGCCTTTGATGACCCCGGGCCCGCACTGGCCTCTGATGGCTCAGGCAGGTCTCGTAAGACCCACGTTGGAGTTCAAAGACCCATACTGCTGTGCGAGGTCTCACTCGGTTTATCAGGGTCAATCTCAATACTGGCCTTAAATGATCTTACGCCGGGCTTATATAAGGGTCTCATACTGGTTTCAGAAGTTTTCCGCTACTTACGAAAAACTTCAGGGGGGGGGGGCGGATATTCGCCCCCCTCCGCGGTACGCGGGTTAAGCTAACACACCGCCCCCCAGCGAGGGTCTACAGGGGCCCCTTTGCCAATTCGTCCCCCCCCCCCCAAACGCCAAGATTACGACCGTACCTGGTGGCGCCCACTTCCGGACTATTGCGCCCCTCGGAACCGCTTTGGGCGCCCTTTCAGGGCTGTGCAACCCCAATAAAAAACAAAAAAATCCACCCCTGGCTGGGACACAGCGCCACCGGTTACCGTAACACAATTTTCCCAGCATTTCGGAGCGCAATCAGGAACGCCGCTCGTCGCCCCCGCCGACGATTTTAATTGATGCAGCGATGCCTGGAACCCGGTGCCGGGAATAAATACGACTCCTGAGTCGGAGCGGCCGGTAATTTGTCTCAGTAACGAGCCGTGACGTCAGACCGGTAACACAGCAGCGCCGTGGCGAATTCCGTGACGAGTAACTCGCCGATACAGTTTGGATTTCAATGGAAAAAGACGGATAAAGTAACGCCTTTCAAGTTCTATCACTTTGGTTGACAACTCTTCTTACTTGATCCATCAACGCTCGATTCAGATATTTCATCGCTCGATCCAGATATTTTCTAATGCCATTTTCCTGTGAATAGCAGCTGACGAACCGATTCAATGCACAACCAGCACAAGACGCGCTCACCACGCCCAGTGTACCGACTTCAATTCATCTACTTTTTCATATTGTGCAATCGGTTCATGAATACACCAATTTTCATTGTGATTATTCATCAGATATCATCAGACACCAGTCTACACTGGCGGATCCAAGCCCAAGAGGGGGAGGGGGTATTTGGGGCTTTAACTCGACGAATTAGAAATCAATAACTTAGCGAGATCTTTGTGACTGTCCGGTACCCCACACGCTTCGAGGGCAGATGCAGAGGGCAGAGAGCCATCCGAGGTCAATCTGAGGTCATTTCAGGGTAGCGTGGGCTACCGAAATCTCGAGTCGCTCTTAGCTTCCAACACAAACTTTGTTTGAGCTCGATCTCCAGCACCCTTCGATAAAATATGGACATTGTGTACCATGCCCTTGGTACCATGCTCCGTAACGACTGTGATGGATCACTATAGAATAGCGATTCTGTCCAAGTGCAATGGTGTTTTTCTAAAAGCTTCATCATTGTAGCGAGATACTCACAATTACAGTTAAAATGTAGCTAGAGTAGTAGCCACCGAATTCTGCACTGCCAGCGAATATGCTAATGGAAAGAATGGCGCCACATTCCACGTGACCCCACATCCTGAAACCACGTGCACGAATAAACAATGTTCGCAGGATTCGGCTGGAAGGAAGTCAAACAAACCATACAGGCTCAGTTGGGTTGAAGCGGACACATTTGCATTCGACAGACGACAGACTGAGGCACTGGTACGGCACAACGACATGAAATAGGCGATCCAGTATGGTGTATGAACGTTGAGGACCAAAAATCATGGATCCTCAGCATTGAATTTAAGGCAAATGATTCTTTTCAGAGTAAAATCGATCCTGAGAAAGAATAACATGATAGCTCATAGCAGCTGTTAGAATGGCGCGCCCTTTGCGTTGTGGACTGAGACGCAGCCTTCCCGTTATATAAACGATACTTGATAGATATATGGATAGATGGACAGATAGAAACGTTTGTATTCCGGACTAATAAGTCGAAAAACATACAGCAATCGGTAGACCGTGGGACACAACAGCAATGGGGAGCGAGATATGGCGGGTCCAAAACTCACCTTTTGAAGTGCTCCTTTATCCGATCCTCGGTAACACTGTCAGGCAAATTTCCAACCCAGAGATGTCTAGTCTCTCTGACCATTTTGTCCTAACGCCCTCATGAGTATACCATCGCTTTTCGCCACAATCACAAAAATTCACAAACACCACATGGCGACACGCTCCGCGACCTGCAGCACATTCGCTCACCTCGCACTGTTGCGTTCTAATGACGTCACACACCAGAACCCCGACAAAATAGTTGGCGTCCACCTGCTAGCAAAATCTTTTGGAGCGCCCGGCACATACTAGCCAAGGCGAGTCTACTACTGATGACGCTCACGACAGCAGCGATACCTAGTGAGAGAAATGTTAACTATAGGGGTAACTGATGACCACCAGATGGCAGGCAACATTCATTTCTATATTTCAATTGAAATGTTCTACTGGCGAAAAATGAGATGTTTTGTGGACAACCAGCTTAAAAAAAAGGCTTGAAAATAAAAGACCTCCCAAGTTTTGTGACCAATTGGGGCTCAACTCAATTATTTAACCGTTTGCTTTTTACTTGACAGAATGATATCAGTCTCACTTCTGTTATTCTCAGCAGCATATCGAGGATTCATCATGAAAAAAATAAATACAGAGAACAATAATTAAAACATTTGCTGAAGGAACCAACTGCTTCAAACTGTTAGAGCAACATAGCGCGCATCATAAATTAGTGGTTGCAAGTGGACAGCGATTTTGCACACCTCGTCTTTGTAGCACCATATATGTCTACATGCTGCCTACATGCACACCAAATGCACACATTTTGTGGAAGCGCACGTGTTCTTGCTGGTGCTTGAGGTCAAGGCCCTATATACCAGGTAGGGTCGTCCGGCGATTCTACCTGATCGTGACGTCAGCTTGTGACGTCATCTGGGGGCAAGTCTTGAAGTCCCGTTTGAGTCCCATGTAAATGGGCGATTTTTGAAGCGCTGTAGAACAAACTCTGTTAGAGCTAGCACAAAACTAAGTGCATCATCGGAAAGACGAGACATTTTTCTTTGAATTATCTAGGCGCAGTTTTTCACTAAACCCATTAGTTTTTCCGATAATGCGTAGAAAAGCCCCCATGCCTCCGCAGCCTCCCTTCCGCCGGCCGCTGCGCCGCCGCGGTAGTGTAGTGGTTAGGATGCTTGCACCGTGATCCAAAGGTCGTGCGCTCGAATCTAGGAACGGGTCGGACTCAAATCGAAATTGCAAGCAGAATATGTGTTTTTTCTTTAAAAATCACTTATATTACAGCTAACCGTTCATAAAACTATCGAAAACAATTGACTGAACGCCAAAATATAGATAACATTCTTATAAAGCAAATTCAAATATGGCGGCCGTTGCGCTAGGCTCCGCCCCCGACTCCGCCCCTTCATGTGACGTCATCTGTGCACTTGGACACACAGGGAGATAGGGAACGACATGGGCCTGCTTGAGGTGAATTCAGAGTATTTGAGAATTAGGGGGTCATAGACTCTCAGTTTTCGTACGCTTCCATCATGAATTAATTGTCTATGAAGCACAGAAGCTGAAGCTTAGAAAAAGTACGAAGCACAGCCACAGGATATGATGGTAAGGATTTAGGAAATACCTACTCATGGTTGCGGGTGCATGCTGTGGATCATAATGTAATATAAATTTAAGTTATGGATTCATAGGTACTTTTTCATTCATTTAGCCATTTATGTCACCAATTGTATTAGTAGGTGGCTTCGAGATCAGGCGCCACCGGCCACACTACAACACTAAGCAGTGCTCGTGTTGGGCCAGAGTTAAGCGTAGCAGGTGCACACTCGGGGTGCACTCGGTGAGTCGGGGTGCACAGGTTGGACAGTAGGTATACCACAAACCCATGCCAACTTCACGAACTTGCTGTTGTCTGCATTGGTTGGTTGGTTTGGTTCAAGCACCATATTCAGTGAACCGAGGTGCTAACTGGGCCTCTCACATTTCCAACTTCCAAGCGGCGGCGCAGCCAGGCAGCAGCAACGCCGCATGCATGGCCTGCCGCATGCAATGCCGCATACATTGCACGGGAATCAAACCTTGATTGCAGAATCTAGGGGCAAAGAACCGCAGTGGTCCCTACCTATCAAATCAAAATGTTATCAAAAGGCAGTGAAGACCTGCCCCAAAGTCTGCTTTAAGTTGACCCTCACAGCTCACAAGCCTGCCCTTAGGACTGCACTCCTCTCCTACTGGCAGGTGGAATGTTTTACAATGTATGATGTGAGAGGTGCTTAATTTCATTACAAGCATTTTATGTTGAATTGTGAAGTAGCTGCATTGTACAGTCCACAGCAGAGGTAATGTGCGGTTTCAGTCATGTGTATGTTCTGCTTCTGAAGCTTAGGAACAATTAGCCAGACTATAATGAAACTTTGAACATAGCTTACATGTATCATCAGTCGTCACCTTTGCAGCTGCAACTTTAACTATTGACGTCTCCTTTTTGATCACTCCGCAATAAAAAATCACCAGTCAAAGCCATCCGTTGAGATTGGTAAAACCGCACATTACTGTAGCGATGGGCTGTACTTATGACTTCTGCTTGCTCATTAGCATTGTAATTAAGAGTTAGGACAGTTTTGGAATCCAATAATGTGTGTCTAATTTACTTTTCTCTTTTCAGGTCTGGGGTAGCCAGTGAGCATTATCTTGTACCACTTAAACCAAGCTGTTGTTGTTGTTGTTACATAGTTCAAGATGACTGGCTCAGGCAAAATGAAGAAAAAGGTATGTTTCCATTATTTTCCTACCAGACATGTATGCAAGATGTTTGAAATTTGCTATATTTGTCTCTAGTGGTGCTTAGCTCATGTGCTAACTAATATCTTGTTCTTCTCTGCAGTCTGTTTCCAGTCGTATCCCCCTATAATGCATTTATTTCTTCACAAAATGCTCTATTTTATACACCTGCGATTTCAAAGTCACTGTCGCTCAAACATGGGATTATGTGTAGCCATTCCGTAATAAGGTTTTACAACGGCCCGCACCTCCTCACCTGGCTTTTTCCCTATGTCGTCAGTACGCCTCGGGCGAGGCGTCCTGGTACATGACTAGGAAGCAGGCGCTGGACAAGCTGCAGGTGAACCTGCGCGACTTCCGGCGGCTCTGCATCCTCAAAGGCATCTACCCCCGAGAGCCCATCAAACGCACTCGTGCACAGAAGGGCTCCACAGAGAAGAAGACGCTCTACTACAAGAAGGATATACAGTTCCTGCTGCATGAGCCGCTCATCTGGAAAATGTGGGATATGAAGGTCGGTTACACTTAAGACACGGGGGGCTTCATAACTGTCATTTGGTTTTCTTCCTGGTAGTTAAAAGTTATGTTTAGAAAGTGGGTAACAATCATTTATCTTTTTATTTGTTGAACTAACGTTGTATACCTGTTTGAAAAGTCATGATAACTGAAAGGTTCCCTTATCTTTTACTTACAAATCAACCTAAATCTGAAAAGGTGAACTATGACGGACTGAATAAGTCATTTATGCATCATCTTTTTACCAGGCGAGGCACAAGAAGATTCAGAAGTCGAAGGGCAAACGCGACTTCGAGGGCGCCCAGCGGCTGAACAAGGGTCGCCCCAAGTACGACCTCGACCACCTCGTCAAAGAAAGGTAGGACAACTCGGTCAGTATCCTCACGGAGACTCGAATAGATGGCAGCTGTAATGTGCATAACACAGTCGCGGCTCCACTGCAGTGCAGTGGGGCAAAGACAGTGCTCCACTACTGGTCTCGCTAACCTGTTTGGTATGGCATGGTAGAGGTTGGTGTGTGATGACACTCATACGATCAATGATCATGGAAGCTGCCAAGCAGCTGGTGCAAGTTCATACCAAGCTCCTCTCATGTATAGAATAATCTTACAATGGTACACAGTGTCTGCTCGTAGTCTCAAAATCTCTCTGCCCGCCACCATGAACCAACTGTCCTTTGTACTTCCTGCTCCTTATACCGATTACCTAACCACTGTCCTTCCCTGTCCTTTATACCCTACCCTCTTCGACCTCTACTCGATACGCCCTCCCGACCTATACCGAGCTCAGATCTCGCCGGCCACAATGATGGTATCCAATAGTGATGTCAGTTGCAGAAAATCGTGATACTGATACCAAACCAAATACCAACAATAACCATAGGAAAGTACCAAAACCAAACTAACTTCAGAAACTGAGGGAAATACCAACTTTTTATCGAATTCACAGCCTCTTTTACATTAGCTACGATTCACAATACCAACAAAATACCAAATGCATTAGCCTTGAAATACCAAATACCAAGTTGGTATCGGTTTGGTATCGGTATACCAAAAAGTTGGTATCCGATTGACATCTCTAGTATCCACCCACTGACGCCAGCTGACCGTGCCTGCCGCCAGGTACCCGACCTTCTCAGACGCGCTGAACGACCTGGACGACCCGCTGTCGCTCTGCAGCCTGTTTGCCATCATGCCGACCGTCAGTAAGCTATCAGAGGGTGAGTTCTTGGTCGCCTGACGCGCTAGAAAGGGGCTCTCACCGTGGAGTTGAAGCGGACAAGCGCTCAGTGGTATGTCGTATGGCGGTTTGTGAGATGGCGGTAGTTGTGGCTGAGCGTTTGTATGTAACACTTATGGGTGTCGGGGCTTTCGCTGCGAAGGTATTTTCGTCGCGCTTTCGAACTAACTGCGCCATCCGGATCGTATGTGCACCTCTCTAGCCAGTAGTCACCCTCCACCCCGTTCCAGCTCTGGTGTCCGACTGCCGCCGACTCATCGGTCCGTATGTGTGCCCGTCTGATTTCTGTTCCCTGCTCTCCACCCCATCAGCTCTGGTGTCTGATGGTGTGTTTTCCGGCCTGTATGTGCCTCACTCTGTCCTCTCTAACCGACCTGCTGCCGCGTTCACAGCGCTGGTGTCCGACTGCCGCCGACTCACTGTCGAATTCATGCACTATGTGATCGAGTCGCGGGCATTGCGGAAGGCGTTCATCTCCATCAAGGGCTACTACTTCCAGGCGGAGGTACAGGGCATCGCCGTCACGTGGGTGATGCCGCACCACTTCGTCTACATGGTAAGAGAGCGGGGCTGACGGTAGAGGGGAGGCACAGGGCTCACAGGACGGGATGGGACGGGGCTTACGGTTGGAGGATGGACGAAGCTACCGTGATAGGTGGAGAAAACACTTTGCTTAGCTGTGGAATGAAGTGATGCATATAGGATTGGAACTCGGAAAGGACGAAAAAAATATCAATATTGTAACATCCTGGTTTGTAATTTGGTTGTGATGTCAAAACCTGCTGCTTTTTCAGACTTTTGTAACAGTATTACACAATCCGTGTGCTTTATGCAGCAGCATTTTAACGTGCGACTCGTCACCGTCCCTTCCTCAGCGGCCGGAGAACGTGGACATGAAGGTGATGGCCATCTTCTCCGAGTTTTACACCACGCTGCTGGGCTTCGTCAACTACCGGCTGTACCACTCGCTGAACCTCATGTACCCGCCCAAGCTGGCCCTCACAGGAGGTGGGTGAGACTGCGGGTGGCCGCCGGTCGGCCTCTGTCGCTTAGTCTCTGGCCTCCGTGTTATCCCTGGTCCCCGGCAACTATTACTTCGATTAGCCCGCACACTCTTAGTTCGGTGAGCTTACACTAGACGGCGCTGAGGATGGTGCGACGCTCGGAGCGGTCATGGCTGAGATAGCCTGCGCCTCGCGATGACGTTAGGTTCTGGCTTTTGACGATAAGCTACCTATTTGTTTACCAGCTCTTTTGTGGCTTATTTATTTGTGTCACGACATATGCAATCCAAACCCGGAATACTATCTTATAATAAGCTTTTTTCTAACAAACAGAAATAGGAACGGATACGTTCCTGGGTCTGGGTCTAGTTGTCATCATGTGATGTGCCCGCTACTTCTTGCTTTATGTGTTTGCTTTGGATGTTCCATGCTGTTATTGGGGTAATAGGTATGTCACATATGAAATCCCATCAAGGATTGATTTTCCAGTGCATCTGGAGATCTTTGATGCGAGGCTGACGGGTGGTTTCTGGGTAGCTGTAAATCTGATGCGTCGGATTAATCAAGTATACTATTTGTATCCAGCATACCCACCATCCACTATCCATGATATGCGAATCACCATTTCCATTATCACCTCGCCAGCTCAGTTTCAGCCTTTACCCCTCCCCCCCCCCGCAGCCTCCCCCCAGACACGTGTATGTCCACTACCCCCCCCCCCCCCCCTCCACAGCCTCCCCCCCAGACGCGTGTATGTCCAACCGGGAGCGCCTCAACCATCACTACCTCCCTCCCCCCTCCCCTCCCTCCAGCGACCCCCACAGACACGTGTATGTCCACCCGGGAGCTGGATGACGAGCGGGTGGCCGCTCTCAACACGCCTCTGGCGCGCGCCCGGCTGCCCGATGACGCCGATGACGCCGACGATGACGCCGAGCTGGCGCTGATGGCGGCGGCCGCTGGCGAGGAGCTGGAGGAGGTGCGCCGGCGCCGCCAGCGCACCCGCCGCCTCCAGAGGCTGTTCGCCGGGTGTCGGGTGTTCATCGGACGAGAGGTGCGTGATTGAGGGGGTGACGAGGTGGAGGGATGGGTGAGAAGGGAGGGTAGGAGCTGAGCTGGCGGGGTCGGTGGTGAGTGGAAAATTGGAAATTGAGCTTCTGACGCTACCACCGTCAGATATAGATATTCGTGGTGTTTTGTGCATCTGATTTTTTATGATATCGCGATATCGTTATATATCACGATGTAGTTATGATAGTACGATGGAATCTTATTGGTAGGTAACTGCAAGCTTTAGAATATGAAAGCACTATAATAATGCATATGTTCCAACCGTGTCACGTTTCTTTTGTAATGGCATGATTCTGACATGGTCACATGACGTGATTAATTTACAGAACCCTGTTAGTGAAGTAGCATCAAGTTCTGACTTATCAGGCAGTATGATCATATGATGTGTAGCATAGGTGTTACTTTATGCATCGCTGGTGCTTGAACGCCCCGCACTGATCTCTGGGAAAACTTCACCGATGAATTGTGCACTGTGAAGGCAACTGACTTTTGTGACTTTTTCAGCTATCGGACGTAGACTAATAAACTTCTCAATCTCATTTCCTAACTCCTGCGGTGCTCTCCCGTGCTAACGCCATCTATGTGCCCTCGGTGTTCCAGGTGCCCCGTGAGCCGATGGTATTTGCCATCCGTGCGCTGGGCGGCACGTGCTCGTGGGACGCCTCGTGTGCGCCGGGCGCCACGTACTCGGAGACTGACGAGACCATCACCCACCAGCTCATCGATCGGGCCATGCCGCAGGGCGCCAAAAAGTACACCTCAAGGTGAGAGGCGGATGGGACGGACGGAGTGACCCAGAGGAAGCTTTCTCCTTCTGACCATGGTATTAAAGTTGTGTCGCGCCAACAATTTGTAATTATGGAATGATTAAGTTCTGCTCCTGGGGAACAAGTGCCCCCTTTCCCTTCTACTACCTACTCTCAGTATGTCCTTTCACGAAAGACGTGCACTGTTAAGTGACCCGCCTATACCCAGCTATCGGTGCTGGTCGGACAGGTAGTAAGCGTCGGTGCACTGATGTCCCCTGATACCACTTCACTTAGAGAGAGGGTGAGGGTGGGGACTGGGGACGGCGCCTCCGTCGACATGTCGAGTGCTGGTCAAATATTGATACAGCCCGGCTGACTGGGGCGGAGTCGGATCTGGAGCACCTCTCGTCCGCCACTGGTGTGCGCTGGAGCGCGGAACTCAGGAGTGGCCGCGGCGGCTTTGACAGTAGAGTGGACCAGCTAGACGATAGAGTACCGGACTGTGTGCTTAGTGGGGCGTGGGGTCTGGGTGACTTAGACGCCCCCCCCCCCCCCCCTCAACATAGACATTGCATGACCCATGTACCCTGTAGGGCAGTAGAGGATGATGAATTACCGTCATTTTGTGCATTATTTGACAAGCCAAACAATAAATTGTAACAAATGTTCCTCGGGGGATTAAGGTTTTGATAACGTGTACTTTGTTCATTGTTTTGTGCCTTTAGTGTTGACCCGGACGGCTGTTGCTGGGCCCCGTCAGGCTTTCTGTGGCGCTGTGTCTGATGACTGCTGTTCGCCAGGCTTTCTGTGGTATTGGCTGACGGCTGCAGGTTTTCTGTGTTCTCTGACGGTTATTTCGCCCGCCAGGTACTACGTGCAGCCTCAGTGGGTGTTTGACTCGGTCAACTGCGGCGACCTGCGGCCCGTACAGCTCTATTTCCCCGGCGTCGAGCTGCCGCCGCACCTGTCACCGTTCAAGGAAGAGGAGGTCACCTGGGGAGAGTACGTCCCGCCCGACAAACTCAAACTGCTCGGTGAGTCTATGGGAGTCAGACTACTGAGTCACCTGGGGAGAGTACGTCCCGCCCGACAAACTCAAACTGCTCGGTGAGTCTTTGGGAGTCAGGGAGTACTCCTCCTGAGTCACCTGGGGAGAGTACGTCCCATCAGACAAACTCAAACTGCTAGGTGAATGGTGCAGTGACGAGATAGTCTTCCCTCTGGGTCACATTAGGAGAGTATGTCCTCCCGGCTCGATGAGAGTCCCTTATCACTGGCAGTGTTGCTGCGAGGACAGTACCGCTGAGCCCGCAGTCGTGGCCTCCGGTCACCAGTGACTCAGCCGGCCGCGTGAGGCCGGTGTGTGTGGAGTCGGGCACAGGTCCGGCCTGTCCCAGCGTCACACCCCTGGTCGGGTGTTAATAACTCATCAGTGGCGGTCGGCCCGCACCCCGGCTCCCTGCACAGAGCAGCACAATTGGAGCCCCTTCCCGGAAAATGAACCGCTGCAATTTTAAAAACGTGCAAGGTCTGCATGATCTGTCTCATGCACGGGTCTGTTTGGATTTCTGGGAATCGAGGAAAGTCCCAAATGATGATTTGTACAGTGACTCTGTCTTAAAAGTGCCGCGCAAAGTGACGGTGGATCCATCAAGCCTGACCGAGGAAGGGCCTGCTATAATTTGAAAGCTACCGAACCAATTGACCTGGGAATGGACGAGGATGTCAATTGCTTCGGTGACTCAAATTTAGCAGGCCCTTCCTCGGTCAGGCTTCATGGATCCACCGTTACTTTGCGCGGTACTTTTAAGACAGACTGTACGGTATACGAGTTAATTGGCTCGTAAGTCGGTTTAGATGTGATAAGTTTGACTAGAGAAAAGTCACACTAGATAACAGTAATCAATACGCCTTCGATATTGATGTCTCCTCTCCTTCAATGCCCCTATTACACGCGTAAGCAAATACCCGTGGCGCGTTTGTTTAAAGCACGTGTCCTCTGCCACTATGTTTCAGATTCTGTTCGGCTGTGCGGTGCGTGGGTAGTGATGTCCTCTGGCCTGTCGTCTGTATTCGACAGTCGCGTCGATATGATGAATGTATTTCTGCGCTGTAATCGAATCTGCCGAAAAATCTGTCTGTCGCTCAAGCTCTCGTCTTTGAAAATCAAAGACTCTCGGAGGGAAGACTTATATTTTATCGTTGGCTGTGTTGACACCAAAGCAAGTGAAACTTATCCAAGCGTCCTTTGTGTGATAAAAAAACTATGCCTTTTTCCACTGTGAACGGCGCGACTGCTCAGTTTATTGCCGGTCGGCTGGCTGGTGCCGCGCCGTTTGAAATGCCGGCGCCACTGGCTGACGTCATTAGTGCATTTGTCACGGCCCGGATCGTTACCGACGTTAAACCACTGGCTTTTGGCGCCGTGCGGCCTTTGAAGCCATCGGAACCGATGTCGGGTGTGCGGTTTTGCGGCTCTATCGTCGGTCGTTACCGGGTTCGATTCGGCACGGCTTGGGCGGTCGTGCTAGGGACTGTGTCCTAAAGTTTTGCTTGTTAGCGACCACAATTCGATTTTTCATTACACCTGCTAGGAAAGTTATTCTCAAGCTATAGTATGATCGAAACGGAAAGTTTTGCTCACTCTATAACTGTTCTGGCTTTATTTTCAGCCTCATTGTATTGCATTGTATGTAAATAGAGATCAATAATAGCCTGTAAAGAACCTCCTCCCCCCACCACTCCCACCCCCCACCACCACCCTAAAAAGTTTTCCCTCGTATGGTAGGTACCCGAATGTCATTCTAAGCATATAGCCTTCTCATATATTCAAGGTGATAAGTTCGAAAGGTCGTGATCGCTCCCAGACCTTCGTGTCTTATTCACACCATCATTCATTTCAGTGACAATATAACTGCACTGTGGGCTGCACTTACCCATATGAGTCTCATTAGGTAGCACCGTTAATTTCTCCATAGGCCGGGCGCTGCCCTGATGAAGTGCACGTGCCACCGGCGCTCTATGGTTCATTTACTCCATCACAGTGTGTATGTGCAATGTGTGCACGGAGTCTCTGAATGAACAGGGCCAATCGACCCGGGTCGCCGCCGCTGCCGCGGAAAAATCAATCGGTCGCTCCTGTCTCCATGAGGCGGCAGGACCCCTGCGGCGGAGCTGACAGACTTCTGGCACGCTGCTGTGAAGATGTTGGACGTCAGAACTCTTATGTGACCTCTGGTGTGATTGTTGCATTCATTTGTCTGGCAGTTTGTTAGTTTTCATCAGGCAGGTAATTCTGCTATTATGACTCTGGTCTTGACTTCTTGTGAGGGTGTGCTGTATATAGTTAGTGTGCAGACCCTCAACTCTCCACGGCCCTGCGGCACTGCATTGCTGAATGTAATCGGGCATTCCCTGTCGCAAGCGAACAGCACTAGCGGCATATTAACTCAGCTTTTATGGGGTTTCTTTATTTTACGACCTATCTGGCCCACGATCGAACATGAGCACAAGCAGGATACAGCACTGCCGCAAATACAACGCTCAAAATGTGTTCATGTCTACCTACCGCCTGTCGTTGGTTGCGTCGATGGCTGAAATCGCATTTGTACCGATATTCGCTAGTGTATAATACCTGCGTAAATTTGTTGCCGAACTGACGTGCTAGTGACGTCATTGGTTCCAAGCCAGTGACGCCATTGGTCCCCAGGGAGCTTTATGCAGTAGGTGAGGCCAGTGTATGACGTCTAATAAGGCGCTGAAAGGCGAGCAAAAATACTCATCAGTGATGGAGCATTGGCGCCCGCACCGCCATGGGGCGTGCTGCCCATCGGTGCCCTCGCCTCGTTTTTGTGTCAGCGATCGATTTTGTTATGGACCCCTACTCTGACAAAAAAGTAGAAACAATGCAACGACCTCGTGATGACGCTTGGCTTTTTTAATTCTGTTGTGCCCTCGTTCACCGCTTAAGTCAGTAGACATTGACCCCTTTTCCCCTCCTCCGGCCTTATTTCTCCTATTGCCAACACTCCCCGTTGATTTTTTCATCCCCACTGCCTTCCTTCTCGAAAAACAAATGATTAGACGTTCTGGAGAAAACCGTCGCGACTGTGGCGGGGGCGGCACTCGGCCGGTCATTGTCTGCCGTCTTTAACGAGCGTCGATCGGCTGATCAGCCGTTTGGGACGGCTGTCGTCAGGCCAAGATCGGCCGGCCGGCTGGTCCGGGGCGATAAAATGGGGCTGCGGTGCTTCAGAAAGTAGCTGAATTTTGATGGTGGACGGGTAATTGTGGTAGGGCAAGTGGACAAAGAAAGGGTTTCTGAGGGGCGTTGGAAATTCGGGAAGTAGAAGCCATTGACTGGCTGACGATCGCCACTTATGTCTTCACGTCTCCCCTTACGTCCTCACGCACCCTTCTGTGTACTCACCACCCCTGTGTCTTCACGCTCCCCCCCCCCCCCCCCCACGTCCTCACCCTCACCCCGCTGTGTCCCCAGGTCAGCTGCAGGGCACGGAGCAGGCGGCGGCGGAGGACGGGGTCGGGGACAACCCGTCCTCAGACGAGGACGCAGACGAGGACCAGGAGTCAGCCGACGAGAAACAGGAGGACGAGGACAATGAGGAGTCGGACGGAGAGGAGGAGGACAGCGACGGAGGCGAGGAGATGGAGGACGAGTCCGCCGAGGATTCGGCCAAGGTAGGAAGGACGGACGGACGGGGCTGGAATATGAGGCGTGCATGTTGTGACGTGGAGCGATGGGCGATCGTTTTGTTTGGCTGTTTTGTTGCGAGCAACCTCTTCCGGCCTGAAAAGATCAGTGCAGAGCCATGGAATGATAGGATAGGGTGTAGCCTTTGGACTGCGGACCACCGACGGTGCTCCGCAGCGCCAGAAACCGTCCGTCCCGGTGGGACAGAAGCGTCCCGGTGGGACAGCCCCCCCTGCCGTTCAAATGGTCACCCCGGAGAGGGTGTAGTCCAAACTCCGAACGAAGAGATGCCCTCACCACCGGTTGTCTGGTAACGAGTGACTGTCAGCCCGGAAAAGGGAAGGGCTAGTGAGGATTGGGATCGGTCTCCAGGATGGGTCTCCAGGAAAGTGAGATTGGTTGACAGCTCAACAATCCACCTAAGGAATATTTAAATCCACTTACATAACCTACTTCTGCGCAATTAATGCTGATGTAATGTTTTTGTTTTTGTCCTGTCTTGTGACCAGTATGCCATGAGTACACATCAACGGCACACGCTGCCCAGTCCGGCACAGGGGCGGTGAGGTCGGGTACGCCGTCAGCGGGTGGTACTGTTATCGCTCCCCCGGTCCGTCCCGCTCAATATCGGACCGGCGGTAGCTCAGATCGCAGACTAGATAACCGAGTTCCGACCGACTGGACTGCCGATCGGACGGTATCAGACAGTCCGACAGGAGCCGCGGCGGGGCCTCAGACTGGGGAATATCTTATATAACTTTCCAGAAATATTTCACCTCTTACGATAAAAGATAGGTTGTATGGTCGAATCAGCGCCTTCCTTTCGTGTGGTGACCTTTCTGTCTGGACCGATCACACTTTTTGAGTCATGAAACAAGGGACCGATCAGACTTTGAGAGTCATGAAGATTTGTCTATGGTATGAAACGCAATATACCCCTTTTCCCGAAGAAGTAGGTTGTACTGCGTTTGGAGCATCGCCTTCAAAATTCACCTCTGTCTAGCTACCTCCTCCGCTACTCAGACTAAGTAAAAGTGTTTTATTGCTGCCCTTGGATCTGTTTGGATGTCCAGGAGACTGGGAGAGGGCTAATGTAGCTAGAAGCTGGTAAAGCACGCCTGAGGTCGCTTGTGAGAGCTCTTCTGCGAACGCGCGGCGCGTACCGGAGCTAGTGCACGTGTAGGGCTTGGCGGCCGTGCGCAAACCGCGCCACCGGATGCCCGCGTGCGAGACGGTCCTTTATATGCCTCTGAGACAGTCCTATTGACGGCTTCTGCCGGAGTGTGGGGTCTTACAAGCTTCTGGGGCCGTGTGACGCCGTCTTGACGTTAAGGCTCTGAATATAGTCCGGCCTGTCGGGTGAATGGAAGGACCACGGGCGACAGCGCTATGCGAGCAATGCGCCGCGGTGAATGCCGTGTCGCTTTATGGGGCTGGGTGGTAGAATTCGGCTTATTAAATGTGTAAAGAAAGCTAAAACGGCATGTTTCCAGTTAGCGCAGCATCGTGCCTATTCGGAAATTCGTAGACCATGTCTGCTGGGTGCAAATACGATCACCACCACTGATTTATGGCTGGCTTGTGATACCTCAGGCTCCCCGCAGTTTAGGCTTTAGCAACCATCTGAGCTATGTAAGACGATCTTCAATATCCCGGAGACGGTTAGTGATACCGCCCGGACTTCCCGCCGTTTTGCACGTTAGCAACCATATATGATATGACCTATGTAAGCCGATCTTGGGATATCCCAGATATATCTAGTGATACCGGGCAATTTGATACCTCATCTCATCAAATCTCATATCTCTCACATCCATTACAATATCTACCCGCCTTCGGAGCCATCGGACCTATATCAGGCATTATCTGGATATCCCCTCTGACTCGCGCTGTGACGTCCTCCTCCAGGCCAAAATGAAGGTGACTCCCGGAAAGATCGAGAAGGTGGACGACCGCAAAGACAAGATGAAGGAGAGCAAGGAGGACTTTTGGATGCGCGCCAGGATGATCAAGAAAAAGGACAAGTGAGTGGAAGCAGTCGGGGACCGATTTTGTCACTCATGCGTACTTTTAATCTCGTTTTTTTGTGAATGTTCGTGGATATGTGGCCGATGCTTCTCAGCCGGCATGCTATTTAAATTTTTCTGGTTTTCGGCTGGTTGACTGTTCGAAGTAGTGCCTGCATGAAACATATGTCGGATGATGTTTTCACAAGACCAGGGGTAGGTACGTTTATTTGGCTCTTACATTCAGTTACCGATATATTATTGTATCTAATTAATCATAACTGTTTCATACCAAAGAAAGTCATTTTCGTAATCCCTACATTGGTGCACATCCTGAAGAGTTTCAGATCGTGCATGTTTGACCTAATTCCATCACCTCCCGTACGCGCTAACGGTTAAAATAGGTGTGCCTCAATCGATGTGTCACTAATTGGCTCCTATCGCCGGACCAATGTCAGCCACATCCTCTCCGCTCCAGAAGTGCAGACGATTGGAATATTTCGTCGATATAGCACCCGAACGCCCATGTGGTAGCGTGAAAGGGCATGCATTCATTTTTCATTGCACCGAACATGCAATTCTCGAAGAGAGCTGCACCGGCATGTGAAGCCCAGGGGACCTTTTAAATGAGCGGACTCTGCAAAATTAACAATTACGAGGCGGGCCTCCACAAACGGGCCCGGTGAACGGCACTTACCGGCGCGCGATGCTGGTGCTGATCGATGACGTGTTTTCGTCCGGCAGGCACCGGTTCTACAAGCTGCTGAAGCGGAAGAAGCTGATGCAAGAGGAGGCGCGCCTGCTGACCAAGAAGCGGCAGATCGTGGAGAAGGAGATGGCCGAGCGGAAGCGACAGGAGAAGAAGCAGATGAAGACGGCGCTGGCGCAGACGTAGCTGGAGGAACTGGGGCCGCTCCGGCGGCCGGCGCGGTCCGCTCGTATTCGAGCTGGATTGCTGGGGATCTGGAGAGGTTTTGCGCTGCTTTTGTGATGGACAGACTGTTGCTCGCCACATTTGTACAATGATGAGTGAATATATCGTCTCGTAAAGGTGACTTACCATGATTTCTGGTTGCTGCAACGAGAGAGCGTTCGTAATTGTATGAAACCCATCGTGAGCGCCGCGCGGGATATTGATAGAAAAAAGGCAACTGGGACTGTGAGTCACTGGTTATTATGATAAAACATCAACTACTGTAAACTTTGGGTTTCACTTGCTTCCTCGGTATTATTTCCCTCAACTTATAAGCATACATGGTCGGTTGTACCTACTGTTTTCTGCTTGCACTTATGTAACTGCGTTCAGGCTGTCAAAAAGTGTAGACTCTCCTCTCCCGCCTGGCAATGTAGCGCAGGATCGCTAAGTGATAACACCTAATCCATTTAGCGCGCGATCGTAATTAACACAGGTTTGATCAGTAAGATGTCATGGTTTCCTAGGTCAGTACGGGTCAGTTGGTATGCATTGAAATGCTTGTGATCAGTATCATTCGATCCTGACTGTTTTTTGGGGAAATTATTTATTGCTTAGTTATGATCATCATTATTGGTCACTCTTTATTGACGTCATGATCTGGTCGAACGAAACCGTTGAATGATTACCTATGATCACATACATTTTAGGGCTCATTGGCAAAAACATACTATTCGTGAAAAGAGAAAATAGAGCATCATGCAAGGGAGAACAACCACAAACGGTCGAGCAAATGTTTTGTGTTTTTTATCTTAAAAAGTATCATTTCCCTGTGGGCACGAACGACACTGTTATTATCCTGCCCTTTTGGATCTGTCATGATCAAGCCACGTGACTGACCTGACTTCAGCTTTGTTATGCATACATGCGGTGCGCCTTATGACAGACACTTCCATCAAACCAAGTCCACCTAGCGGGCCCCGACCTGCCGCCGTGAGTTCACGGTCGCTCGGCCGCGGAATTCACGGCGGCCGAACCATAGGGCGCCCTGGCGAGGTCCACTACATCTCCATCCATCACGGCTGGCTGTCCGGCGGTCACTGTCGGCGTCTGGGGCGGGGGACCGCCCGTGGCCCGCCGTGTCACCGGCGCCCGCTCGGCCCGCCGGGCGCCGTATGAATGTTTCACTGGCGGCCCGATCAATGTCGGATGACCGCCCCCCCCCCCGGTCCCCCTGACCCCCCGGCGGCGCGGCTGGACGGCCGGTGCCGGACGGCGGCAGTCGGCGCGTGCCAGCGGCCACCGCGGGTCATCGTAACCGGCTCCGGGGACCGGGACGGCGCTCCGAGACACCCGCCGCCGCCGCCGCGAGCTGTCGACGTGTCGCCACCGCCGGCGGCTGAGAAATTCGGCTGACAGGTATGTGCCCGATCGATGGGTCCAGCGGTGGGCCGGAAGGGGGCTCTGCCTTGACCTTTGGTCTGTAGAAGTATGCAGGCCTCTGTAATGTACCGACGCGCGGTGACAGGTAAGGAATTTTCAGTTCAGGTAGCCTGCACCTTCAACCAAAACCCCGTTGGCCGTTCCGCCCGGCCCGGCGCCGTCCCGTTTCGAAAGCGCTGCGCTCCCGGCCCGTTGCCGCCGCGCGCGTAGGCTGTGCCGCAGCGCTCTGGCGTCCGGCGGAACAGTCTAACTTGCAGGCACTTCTCCGCGGTACGGGCCGCCGCGCCGGCGCCGCTGCATTTGCTTCGGTTTGCGTCCCTGCTGCATGTAGCCCGGAGGTATTCTATTCGTAGATCCACTATTCGCCTTTGCTACTTTGTGGCTTCTGTAGGATACCTACGAGTTCAATTGGACCTGAAGTTCAAGTGGACACAAACAACAGCTGAACAAAGCTTGAGATATATTGTTTTGCTTTGTTTTTCGGTCCTGAGTCTCAGTCTTCATTGTGCACTCAGTCTTCAACTCACCAGCCTTATCAACTGACAACTGACCATGCTGATGTTCTGCTTATTTTAATTGTTAACCCTATTCCTGGCGGGCTCCGCCGGGACAAGAAACTGGCGGGGGGGGGCCGATTCGGCCCCCCCCCTTCAGATCTCAAAAACTACACATCGCAGCGACAAACGGCGAACGGCGTTTGATAGGTCGTTTAAAGATCTACAACTTTTACATAAAACATTTTCAGGTCAGGTCAATATTGAGGTCACCAGAGGTCATCAACGATAAAATGTTTTGGAATTAGTTACCTATATAACTTTGAAACTAAGAAACATAGAGACATAAAACCAATACATTTTTTGTTGCTCTCGCCGAGGCAATGCGAAATAAGGATGTGATGACCTTCACAGGTCAATTTGAAATTTGACCTGAGGTCAAGGTCAGGTCATTCATCAATGAGGTTGTGGGGTATGGTCATGCCGCATACCAAACGACGCGCCTTGACCAGGCGAGCAGTTTGGTACCACTTACAAGTCTTTAGCACCATGATTTATTGACAGAAAAACGATTTATGACGTCACATGACCTCAGATGACCTTTGCCGGTGCCCCTGTCAATTAGCGGCACCAGGATCATCACCGATGAGATAATCTTCCATAATACTGAAAGAATTGGGTGGTTTTGATTCGTTTACACGAAGTAGGAGGCGTTTCAATATTTTCCCATAGGCTTGCAATGTAAAGGTCACGAGTCTGGCCTGACCTCAGGTCACAGATATGAAAATTCTGAGATATACAAATTGCACATACTGGTACCCTTACTAAAGCCTGAAGAGAAGAAATTGATCGGTCAAAAACTCTAGCTCTGGCGTGATTGCAAACTTTCCTGAGGTAGGGTCACCAAACCGCCTCTGGTGACCTGACCTGAGGTCAGGTCAACTCAAAATTTTCAGAAATGTTGCGTAAAAGCCTTTTAGAAAAAGTCAGAAAATTTGAGCTTCCTAGCTCAAAGCGTTTGGGAGAAATAACCAAAAAACCTCAGGGGGGGCTCCTGAGGCCCCCCCCCCGCCAGGAATAGGGTTAACTAGATCTCTGCCCTGCGATGCTTCAAAAAGTAGGCGATGGGCTATGTAAAAGGTGTCCGTTGACCCAACATGTGAGCGATGAGGTGCGGATACCAGGCCGCTCTCGGCCAAATTGTGGTCCAACCTTACAGCCGAACGCTAGATGGTAAGGTGTTTTTTAGTTCATGACAAAAAGTGGTAAATGACAAATTAATCTTGGTAGCGATGGTATGAGATTTTCAGTTACCCGCTTGCTATCGCACCCGTTTCGTCGTATTTATCCTCAGAATACTGAAATCCTTCTCCTCCATGCCGCAACCCCGTTCCGAGCTGGACAGGCAGCTTTATCCCATGTGAGCTGCTCCCTAGGAGCGCACCGCAGCTCCTGAGTGAGCCACCCGTAGCCGGGTGCAGGGAGTGCTTGAGGGGCTGGGTGGCCTGTCCTTACGGACGGGCTTAGCCACGGTGACTCCCTAGAGTGCCTGCCCACACCAATGTCTCCCCCTAATTCCTATCATCCTTCTGGCTCTGAAGTGGTCTCAATAGACCGAAAGGGCCTAACGCAACAAAACAAACAAGCAAAGTTTGCAATCGAGACGGGTGCGTCTCAGCTTACAAACGGTAAAATGAGGTTAAGTTGCCTATTGCCTACTTGAGATAAACATTACTAATGCCTTATGCTTAGTTTCGATAGCGATTTACGCTCCATGTCGATGGAAGATGGCTCGGTTTTCAATATTCTTATTTGGTAAATACTGGTAAATTATTGTTTGTTAACTAGACCGTAAATACAATAATTTGATCGGTCGCAAATAATTAGCTCACCTAACGACCACTTACCTTAATGTGAGACGAGTCATTTTACCTTGCAGATAACACGATATCTCGCCATTATGGACACTGAAATAATAAAACCAACTCCTATAAAGGGAGCTCAACTTAAAAATAACTCCCGGTGGTCTTAAAGAGGTGATTTTTCAGCGTTTTCGTGCCCCGGAGATCCCGAAATACCGCTGCCCCTCCTGTCGACCCCGGCTTAAATTGTCCAGGTTCGTCGACAGTCGATTGGCCAAAAATACATCTCTCCGCTCATTGGAGCTCCAAATCTGACCCAGGTGACTCCTTAGCGGCTCTGGGGAACTGACCTTTCCGACCGCTCTGCCCGGCGGTCAGCCGGCCATGCGGGTCTCGATACAGGAACTCTCGCTGAGCAAGCTCCGGTAGAGCGCTGTTTGGGTGTTTGGACAGTTAGTGATGCATCTAGCCATGCTTGAGCTCGAATAAAATGGATCGAAATTACGCTGGATAAACAATGAATTGCCATCTATTCGAGGTCAAACTTGTTTCATGTTTATAATACTTTCACTAACTCATTATTCCAAGTATATATTCTGTAACACTCTCGTTCGTGTCCCCCCAATCATGCACTAATAATTTTCTATTCAATGCACGTGACAAGTATGTAACGTGTTACACTACACTCGCTTCCAATAATAAGTCAGCCAACGTCACAAAACTAAACTGATGTCACCATTTTGTTTTAGTGAGAAGTGAAAAATAGGTATTGTGAAGGCAAAAGAATGCTAGTTAATGTTCAATGTTTACAATGTAAAGAACAGGTCCACCGAACGAACACGATATGTCGTTCCCCTTTAGGAGAAAGAAAACAACTTTGAAGCTTAACGTTCAAGACTGTCGTAACATTTCACTTTACATCTCCTTCGTCCATCCGTTATGTTACGCTTCAGACTTCGTCCACGGTAAAAGTAATGATATCTCCGCGGAAATAGCATGACTTTCCATAAGTTCTAGTCGAAAGGGGTTATCATTTACTGGCCCTAGAACGGCGATCAAAGGTTTTTTTCTCGCATTTAGGTCGTCTGTAGAGCTTAGCCCTAGCAACATTGTTTTTGAGTAACTTTTAAATCATTATCAAACAGTTTTGAAAGTTCCTACATAACCACATACTGGAAGAGAGTCCTAAAGCTCTTAGGTTCGGGTTTTCGAACTTGGGATGATCTAAAACAAAGTATCTATCGTGAGACAAAGCACAAGCTATACAGATGTCTATGTCTTACAGCATACTAACTCACTATTTCATACACTTTCAAACAACATTTCATGGCACGTCTAAAGCC